AGCAAATGACAAGTTGTAGGGGTTAAATTGTACAAATTGTATGCGTCGTATCAAACTTTACATGAATTTATGATCTGAATTTTATTAAACCATACTATACAGCTCTATTTACGGTTTTGAATTATACAACAATGGTTTAAACCACACACTACTAGAAAACCAGGTATCAACGATGAATATCAGCGAGGGAAATTTTCCCTCGCAGATCAGCGAGGGATCAGCGAGAGAAATGCCAAAAAACACATTCCCTCGCTGATCCCTCGCTGATCTCTCACAGATCAGCGAGAGATCTGCGAGGGAAATGCCAAAAAACTTATTCCCTCGTTGATTTGCGAGGGAAATTTCTTCTGCAAATTCCCTCACTGATCCCTCGTAGATCAGCGAGGGAAATGACAAAATTCAAATTCCCTCGCAGAGAATTTGCATAATTCACATTCCCTCGCTGATCTGCGAGGGATCAGCGAGGGAAAATGTTTTTTTCCCTATTATATTATTATAGGATTTATGTATTTTTAAAAATAAAATTATTTTCGGGTTTTTTAAAAATAAATACAGGATTTATGTATTTAAAAAAAAAATTATTTCTTAATTTTTTACAAATTAGCGACGTATTGGCGAGGGAAAATCCATCGCTAAAAGTGCTTGAATTTCCCTCGCAAATCCGTCGCTGAAAGTTTCCTCGCAAATCCGTCGCTGATCCGTCGCTAAATACTTTCCTCGCTGATCCGTTGCTGAAAGTGTCCGTCGCAAATCCGTCACTGATTTCCGTCGCTGATCCGTCGCTGATAGCATTATCTACGACTATTTGACCGACGGAGTATCAGCGACGGAAAGCCCTTTCAGCGACGGATCAGCGAGGGAATTTTCCCTCGCTGATACTCTGCATTTTTGTAGTGACATAGCATAGTAATTTTTATTAATATATATATATATATATATATATATACATTATTTATATTTTAACCTAATAATAATATTTAAATAAAAAAATATCTATAAGTCCACAAGAAGATTTTTATTCCTCCTTGAATTTGAGCATGAGACCTCCTGGTACTTTTGACATTTGGAGTCAACCTCAAACCAATCGGGCGCCACCCTTATGGTTAGAACTTTATATTGCATGGACCACTATACTTTTCAATTTGTTTTGAATTTTTGACTTTAAGTAATCTGATGTAATTGATTGTACATTTCAATAGATGTAAGTAGAAATTGCACCACATTTTGCGGTGCTGTTTTACTTTTACAGTTTGAGTTATATACGATTTGGTTTGCAGTTTTAACCTTAAACCACATGAAACACACCACAAACATCCCTATCGAAATGCATAAGTAACGAATGCAATAACAATATCTTTAAAACACACGTTAAGGATCTATAGTTTGAAGATAATCATTTTAGTACCTAATTCGTGACATAAGTGAAACTTTAACGTAGTTTTGACATAGTAAGGATTAAGAATCTTACTCGGTAAAAGCGAGACAAGGATCAAGAGTCTTATCCGGTAAGTGAGGGCGRCGACTCTTAYSACRGTAAGCGCTTAACGGGTAAATTGTTGYATACKATGTYGTTTTGATGGACTAAAATCTTACTCGATAAATACATAATAGTGTTAAATTTTACCGGTAAGCACTTACCAGATAAGTATTTGATAAACGACCCCTAAGATTTCAAATTCGTATTTCATATAAAAATAATTTCACAAAAACAAATAACCACGATACAACAAGCTAATGCATATAAAGGAAACTTGAATAAATCATGTTTTTTTTTTTTTTTTTGTTAATGGTGATTTTAAAGTCAATTTTTATTTTCATAGCATATAATTTATTGTTGTTTTTCCTTTTAGATTTTAAAATTTATTATAGTTTTTATTTTTGTTCTTTACAATTCATTGTTATTTTAGTCTTTCATACTTAAAACTAAGAGGATGTTTGATTCGTAAAATGATTTTTGAAGGAATAAAATTTGTCAAAAGGAATCTAGAAAGAATTGGAATGAAATGTTATGAGGTTTGACCGAGTGTTTGATTGACATGAATGAAATGTAATGATGAAAAAAAGACAAAAATACTATTTCTTTGAAGCAGTATATCATATACAAAAATATGTCAAATTAGTAATATGAAGCAGTAATATGATGTAGAAGCAGTAACAAAATCGAAGCAGAAATCGGAATAGAAATCGTAAGCAGAAACCAAAGTATAAATTGTAAGCAGAGATCGAAGTATAAATCGTAAGCAGAAATCAAAACAGAAATTGTAAGAAAAAAATCGAAGCAAAAATCATAAGCCAAAATATGAAGTCGTAACATAAATCGAAGCAAAAATCAAAAATAGTAAGGGGCCGTTTACCTAAATGCTTACCTGGTGGAGTCAACACTACAATTTATTTTATTGCGTAAGATTGTAGTACATCAAAACGTATCCTATGCAACAATTTATGGTAAGCGTTTACCCGGGTAAAAGTCGTCACTCTCACTTACCGGGTAAGACTCTCCATCCTTATCATTGCTCTTACCGGGTAAGATTCTTGGCCCTTGTCATGTTCATCCGGTGAGGAAAATTACCCGGTAAGTACTTACCGGGTAAGCGTTTAATTAACGACTCCTAACAAAATTGAAGCAGACAACAGATGTAGTACGTTGGAGATAACAAAAATTGAAGCACAAACCGTGCCTGTAGTCTTTGATCGATGAAGAAGATGAAACAATCGTTCAAAATGAGAGAAACGAGTGGTTCGATAGATTGGAAGCGGTAGATGAGAATGAAAAAGGTGGAATGAGGGTATTTTTGTCATTTATAAAATTTTGGATGTAATGGATTTCAATTCCATCTCTTTTATGAAAGAGTAGTGAAATTCTTAAACGAGCAAATGTTTGAAATTCAATTCCATTCCATGAGTAACTAAACATTAGAATGAAATTTGGTCAATTTGAATTGCATCAGATTCCGACGAACCAAACGCCCCCTAAAAGTTAGCCTTAAGAACAAAAATATTACTGATTTTTTTGATCAACCTGGATATCCAACCCGTTATGTGAGTCGACTAATCCCAGAGCGACCACCTGCAAAGCAGGTAGCCTAAAGTCACCGCATTTGAACCTCCGTGACCACAAGAGAATTTTTGTTTCTTCTTGAATTTGAACTTAAGACCTCCAGACAGTTTTGACCTTTGGAGCCAAACTCAAACCAATCAGACACCACCTTTATGGTTAAATATTACTGAATTACGAACCAAAGGAATGAAAACCGCAATTCAAAAGCACAAGAACAAAAGTCGTAATTTTTAACAAACTTCTTAAAAATAAAAAGTTATGAAAAAAAAATTCAAAGTTAATTATCAAAATATGATATTATTAAATGTGGCAAAAAAAAAAAAAAAGACACGTTGTAAGAATTTTAGAAGACTCCAGGGACGGACTATAAAAGTGACCGAGTTGGTTAAATGCTTACCCAACGCAACCGAACCACACGAGAGAGAGAGAGAGAGAGAGAGAGAGAGAGAAAGAGAGAGAGAGAGAGGAGCTCGTATACGAGCCTGAAATTTCTTCTTCGCCTTTAGCATTCATGGAGTTTGAATTACCGACGGTGATTTATCAGAACTATCATCTTCTTGTTTCCGCCGTTGCTTTGATATTAGGCTTTGCTTTGTTGTACGGTTTGAGGTCGAATGTGAAAGCGCGTCGTAAATCGGAGGAGATTGGGAGGAAATATAGTAAGAGCTCCGGCAACGATGGATTGCCGGTGCCGAAGACTGATGAAAGCACTGACGTCATTATTGTTGGAGCCGGTGTTGCTGGTGCTGCTCTTGCTTGTACACTTGCCAAGGTGCGTAATTCTCATCGTTTTCTCTCACCGAAACATACTTGCTTCTACTGTTCTACTATATTTAGGTATATATATGTCGTCGAATTTTATGGTTTCTGAATAAGGACTCATTTAGACAAATCATGCATATTTCTGCTATTTTAATTATGGAAAACGACTTACTTTTCGGTAGATTTGTTGCTTGTATCGTTATCTTGTTCGGATAGTTCGGATCCAAGTATTTTGACATCTCGTGTTCTTGCTATTGCACCTTCATGTTCAAACTGGACTAGTAGTAAAATAGAAATATAGAATCGGAATGATTTACAGAACTAGAATTGATTCTCTTCCCTTTTAAGATTAGACTTTTTTCATTTATGTCTCGATTATTTTCACTTCCATTGCTTATGGATTATTGAGTTTTCAGCATTAATTATTTTGGCGGTGTCACTGCTCGGCCTTAAATTCTTGGTAGGCGCTCGAATATTTGATAACAAGCTAAACCGTGTCTAAATATATGCCTTATAAAATTCACATCAAATATTGCTGTGAGAAATTTATACCTTTTCAATTATTTCTCTTCGATGAAGTTACGCCCATCTATTCTGAAACTGGAAATGTCAAAAGGAAAATGATATATGCAACACAACTAAGCAAATAATTAAAGCATCTTACTAGTTGCCTCCCTCCATTGTAGTTGGACCCTCAGTTCGGATATCTTTGAGATTAGAATCAATCAATACAGTGTCTGTTATGCCC